CTGGTACTCGAACCTGGTGAAACATAGCCTCAATGTCAGACATCAGAACAAAAGGTTCCTTCCTGAACCTGGTCAAGACGCCAATCAATGTGCTTGTAAGGTCTGGTCCTTGCAGTAGATGTGCATTAAATGATGCTGCACAATCAAAAACAACATGCATCTTCTTTTTTTGAGGATGATATACCCCATGATGAGGGATATACCAAACCTTGCCATCACTGCGCTCCAAATCTGTGACCGGCACTCTCACTGCAAATCCGCTTGCTATGATGTTCATGAATGCAATGTAGTCCTTATGAAATGATGGCTCCCTTACGAACCTCCTCTTCAGGTTAAGAATGTGCTGCTCAGCAACTATACGGTTATTAGGCATGCTGATATTTCTGTCTTTAAGAGGCAAGGCAATGCTATAATGGCCATCCACCAGTTTCACAGATCTATCAGCCATTTCCAAAAATTGGGAATCCTCCCTTGACATCCCCAGCAGTTCATCTTGGTTGTTCTCTGGGAAGTCTGTCTTAAACTGCTTATTCCAGAGGACGTCAAGTGTGATGGCTGAAATTCTATTGACTGTAACTGCTGACTGACACTCAAAACTATCACTGCATTCACTAAGTGGCCCGTTTACTGTCCAACCCAGCATCGTCTTGACAGCGTATGGCCCTCCATTTATGCTTCTGATAACTTCCAAAGGCTCCAAACCACTGGGAACATCTGTGCCTATTAGAATCTCCACCTCTGCATCTATTTCTGGCAAGCAAAAATGTTTCAAGTGAGGCCAATTTACCAAGTCTTGTTGTCGTGGGATGTTGCTTCTATCAACAGGCATCTTATGTTGTACGAATAATTTTGGTATTTCACAATACCAATCAGTGTCCAATCCAGCAACTTCCAAATAAGATGCAATACGACTGTCAACTACTTTCTCTTGGCCCATCGTGCGCAGAAGAATCTTTGTTTTTCTGCCAGGGAGGCCCAGCTTATCCATCAGACCCACTGTACAGAAAGATGCAGTACTACCTGGGTCTAAAAAGGTGTATGTTTCAACTGCCCTTTGCCCCTTACTTGATTTGACTCTGACTGGTACGATGGCAAGTTTACAATCCTGGTCACCGGCCCCAGTGAGACCACTAGTTTGTACTTCCAACATACCACTGTCTGCTGCCTTTCCTGAGATGTTCTTGTCCTTCTCTGCCTCTGTTTTGTTTTCCTTTTGATGGATGTGCAACATGCTGGGGTGTCGTGAGCCACATATTTCGCAAGAAAGACGCTTCCTGCACTCTCTGCTGCTCTGCTCAGCTTTTGATTAACTGTTGTGGCTGCCCCCTGGTGTATTGCTCCAGGTAGTAAAGACAGTCGACCCCATTGTTGGCCTTTTGTTCTATTGTTTGTTCAAATGATTGCATAAAGGCATGATATTGCAGTGGATTGCCATCGAAGATCTGAATGTCCCTTTTTGGCAGTGATCCTAGACTTTGCTGCTGCACCAGCATTGACGTTATTTCGTTTTGTTTTTCCATTCATCTTTGAGATGAGACACTGGGG